TTTTAATGCAGTGTCATGATTCCAAGTATGTTCCTTTAATTATTTTGTAATTTTACAGAAAATTATCTCATGCGCCAAGAAGTGTTTGAATTCTCTATTTGGACTGTCATTAAATGGCTCTGAAACTATAATAAAAATACTATTGGAAGGGATATTTGTCTTCCATTAGATAATTGAATTTTATGACTAGTTAAAAATAGAACATATCAGCATATCATATTGCAAGAGAATCCATCTAACATAGCTTTGTCTTTTGTATGCAATTTTACATGTTAAATATTTTGTCTAAACTAAATACATACTGAGTATTTTGAAATACATGCAGACTTAATCTTTAGTATTAATAACAATGATATATTTTAGCTTATTTCTAAAAGTAGTTATCTCATTCCTTGTAGAGCATACAGTTTTATTTCTTTTAAGAATAATTCAGATAAATTTCTCTAATGACTAACATATGAGATACTAAATGACATAAATTTGGACATTTACCAGTCAGAAAAAGGGGAAGAGAATGTACTGCCTCATCACTGCTGCAGAGTTAATGAAACAATAATGACCTATTTTATCCCTTTAAAAACACCATCTACAAATACAGTCTCATTCTGAAGTATGGGGGGATGGACTTAGGAATTCAACATATGAATTTTAGAGAGACACAATTCACTCCATTACAAATTATAAGAAGAAAAATAAAGCAGCCTAGGAGATAAGTACAGGGAATACCATTTTAGAGAGAAGGAAAATGGACATTTTCCCTTGGTGATATAAATACTTTCAGTTTAAACTTAAATGAAGTAAGGAAGCAAGCCATGTGTGTTTAAGAGATGAAGGTATTTCAGGCTTGGGAAGAAACTCCTGCAAAGGATGCATGACAAAAGCTGAGGGGACAAAGGTATAAACAGTAGAATAGGCTGGAGAGAGACAGATTCAGTTATGTAAGATAGTGTAGGGCATGTAAGACCTCAGATTTTGTTTTGTATTTTAAACTATTTTTGGATTTCTTTTTAAAGAGAAAAAGAATAAGTACATTGTATGTGTTTTCTTTTTTATTGCAGTATAATTCATGTAAAATATTCTATTAGTTTCAGGTGCACTTCAAAATGATATTTCTTTATATTATGAAATGATCCCCTCTATACGTCTAGTCACCATCTGTCACCATACAAGGTTATTACAATATTACTGACATATTCCCTATGCTGTACATTATATCCCCATGACTTTTTCATTTTATAACTGGAAGTCTGTACCTCTAAAACCTATTCACCTATTTCATTTTCCTCAAACCCCTTCCTTCTTTCCCTCTCTCGTAGCCAACATTCTGTTTCCTGTATCTACGAGTTTGTTTTCATTTTCTTTTATTTTTCTTTTGTTTTTTAGATTCTACATGTAAGTGAAATCATACAGTATTTGTCCTTCTCTCTCTGACTTTTTCACTTAGCATAATATCCTCCAGGTCCATCCATATTATCACAAATGGTAATATTTCATTCATTTTTTGGCTGAATAATATTCTATTGTAGATGGATAAAGAGACAGAGATAGAGATAAAGATTATACCACATCTTTACCCATTCATCTAATTCATCTACTGATGGACACTTAGGTTGATTCCATATCTTGGACTTCAAATTGGTGTTCTAATTTTTTTCAGATAAATACCTAAAAGTGGAATTGGTGGATACCAATGGCATTTTTCACAAAATTAGAATAAAGAATCCTAAAATTTGTGTGGAACTTCAAAAAACACTGAAAAGGAAAAGCAATCTTGAGAAAGAACAGCAAAACTGGAGGCATATAGCTCCCTGATTTCAAATTACATTACACAGCCATAGTAATCAAAATAGTATGGTACTGGCATGAAAACAGACACACAGATTGGTGGAATAGAATAGAGAACAGAAATAAACGCACACACATATATGTGGGCAATCTATGACAATGAAGAGAAGAATATACAATGGTGAAAACACAGTCTCTCAATAAGCTCAATAAGGTACTGGGAAAACTGGATACCTACATGCAAAAAAATGAAACTGGACCACTATCGTAGACCATATGCCAAAATAAGACCCCAGTTATTTCTTATGAGAAGTTGATCAGTGGTATCTAAGCTAAAAATTATACATAACATGACTTAAATTGCGAAAATGGTGACATGAAGTTAAAAATCAGAGAAATATTTGTTGGATATATGAACAAGCATCCATAAAGTAACACTTAATGGAACCCATAACTTTTGTAGGTAAGGTGGAAAAATTATGTCTTTGTTTATGGAGTGAAATACCCTTTAGTGAAAACGTGGGTGATAAGAAAATGTGCCAGAAAGATTATCAAATCAATATTTTACAACATATCACTGTTAAGCTCCACTCTCTTTTCATTAAATACCTAATTGGAAACACACTGTGCAGTTACAAAACTCATCAGAATTTCATGTTCATCCTAAGAAAAAATCAGATATCCAAAGATAGAAAAAAGCATGTTTACACCCTGCTCTCTTATTATAGGAAATGATTATTTGACAAACAAAGAACTGTGGCTGTGAAAAATGCCAGAATATATTCACAGATGCAAAATAGCTTGATTACACTCTACTTCAATTGGGAGTCAGCTGATTCAGCGGGTGCTCATTAAAGACAGCTTCTGAAAAAAGAGCTGTCAATGATTCAATTTCTAAGAAAGAAATTTTGAAAGGAGACTGAAATGGGTCTAAAATTGTCACCTTTAGGAATTCAAATATCGGGAGTACTAAAGGCTTTATCAGTCTAGATAATATTTTCTTTTGCAATTTTAACAGCTTCTGAACTTTGTAAGTTTTGGGGAAAAGTATGACTTGTTTTTCCTGAGTATTAAATTTTAAACTTAATTTTATCACGATTAAAGCACAAAAGAATATTTTGTCTAATTCTCCATCAATAGAAAAAAAGCTAAAGGTTCCTCTGAAAGAAAAAGACAACCATTCCAACTGCCCTTTTAGAATTTAAATTTTAGGTAATTTATTGCATGAGTTTTGTTACACATAGCCTTGAAAAGTATAACTGATATTCTTTCAAATAGGACATTTCCTCTTAAAGTTTTTATCTCCCCAATTACAGGTGTAGGATTCAACTAATGGTTTTGAAGAATCCCAGAATCAAAGGCTGACCATAGAACAGTGGAAGTGCCCAAATTTTCCCATTGCTCTTTGTCTGCTGATAATGCTCTCAATAAGATAAAACTATTTAAAACTACCATTAGTACCTGGAAGAACTTGACTTCAACCAGCTTCTTTGCTTCTTCACCATATGCTGTTACTATATCACACACACACACACACACACACACACACACATAAATAAAATAAAAAGCAGAGACCAGCCTTAAAAATCCCTAGGCGTACAAACAAAGCTTAATACAGCTTATTTTGCAAGACTAACTTGACCTCGTCACTGCTTTTTATACCTCTGCAAATTATAAGCAAAACTTAAACTGTTCGTAACATTGATAAGGGGGAAGCACTAACCAATTGCCTATCACTTAAGAAAATTCTAATATACCCAGTCACTGTGAAAAGCAAACAGTCACCGCTTTCTCAATATCTGAGGTGCTTCAGAACAACAGACCGTGATGTCTCATTCCATGTTTTGGTTTGAGGGCTCTTGGCTTGCAAACTTTTTGGTGTGTGTACAATAACCTTCTACTAATTATTACTTTGGTGTAATTATTCACTGATTTGACTCCTATTATTTCTGAACTTTTGACAATATAAAATATTATCATATATAATACATATTATTACATATAAATATGTATTTTATATATTTTTCAGATTAATTCTGAAAATTTGAGAACTGTATATTAGAATTGCAGGTCTGAAATTTTGAGGAAAAAGAAAAGAAGGTAAACTCTTTTGTTATTTGTTTTCAACATGGCACCCAGGATGCATAAGGAATATGTTTGAGTAAATAATCAATCAAACTAGGAAAACGTCTCTCCACAGATTCAAAATAATTTCTCCTGGGTGGGTAATGTGTCAGAAGTACAGAGAAGAATATTACATGCAATAACCAGGATTATGGGATCAGTACTGGGAACAACTCTGAATAAGAATATTCACATAAATATTTCTTGTACCGTAAATCTAGTTAAAAACTATATTGTGACCAGTAGAAGATATTATACAATGATACCACTCAAATTTATGTACCATATTTAAATGTTTTTTATACGTGAAAATAAAGATGTATACCTTATCTTTTATTTAAAAATATAAGTTTAGCTAGTATTTCTACAAGTAACCATTCTGCAATATTGTCTTTTTTATTTTAATTCTTTTTAGAAGTCTCTATCAAATTCAGAGATGAAGGGACTGGTTTTCAAATTTCCCAGATACAGGGAATTCATGAGAGAAACCTTACAAATTCAGATTATAAAGTTTAGGGAAATGTTCTTGCAAAAAATACGCCTGCAATTTTGAATTATTTCCATTTTAAATGATTTGTTTGTAAAAGTTCACTTTTTGCATATCCTTACTCTCCCTAATGAATGATATTATTTTCATAGAACTGAAAATACAAGCAAAGTTCATATGCATCACCTCATACAGACATGAAGGACAGGCATTACTCAATATAGAATACCATAAGAGGGCTTAGTGAATTTAAGTATTTGCTTGGAGCTACTCTGATGCCTACTCAAAATAATAAATATCATATAAATTTTATTTGATATAAATATATCTTATATGATAAATATATAATATATATAATATATAATAATATATTGTCAAATAGTAAATTATTCTGTAGTAACGGTCAACCCAAAATCTCATGGTACAGCACAGTATAAGTGTGTCTTCCTCATGGAAAAGATCAATGTCCCAAGTTTTACATAAAGAGATTTTATATATGCATAATACATTCTGTGGCAGTTACTATATTTGTAATATATGTGTGCACATGCATATGTAAGTAAACGGGGAAAACACCCAGGCTGCCACCCGCACCCAAGCCTACCTGGTCCTCGAGAACTTCCAGGAGAAGAAACTACAGCTTGTCCAGTCAGTCCATCAAGCAGAGCGACAAGCACCACTTCGGGAAGTTCAAGTGCCACTACGGGGAGTTCTGACAGGGTGTCATCCCTGAGGCCCAGTTTCAGAATCTCTAGGACCTGCTCGGGTACAACTTCCATACATCCGCGAAGGAGTGGCTGGCGGCAAGAGCTGCTCTCTGCGCACACGACCTTTGGCCACGAGAGGCCTCGGGCAGCAGGGCCCGGAACGGGAGCCGCCCGGACGGCAGCCTGCGCCCCTCCTACCCTGCGCCCCGGGACGTCCCTGGCCACTGGCTCTTCGCGGAGCTGTCACCGGCGTGGGCGGGAGCTGTCACACCCAGAAGCCCCCTTCTCCATCCTCCTTTAGGCTGCTGGGCAGCACAGGGAGGCCCTGGGAAGGCCACCGCCCCGCCGGCACGCGGTCACGCAAGAGTCCGTCCGGTGTCCCCCCAGGATCCGGGCAGACACGCCTGCTCAGCCCCGCGCGGGGCGTGGTTTGTAGTCCTGTGCTTTGGTGCGGTACAGGGGCAGGAAGGGCCAAGAAGCCGAGACCTTCCGCGCTCTCAGATCCAGCGGCCACACCTGCCTGACGTGACGTCCTGAGCCGGAAATTGCTGGGGAAACTGAGGGCGCCCTTGTGCCCGAGGCAGAGGTTCAGTGCGCAGTGTAAACAGTGGGCTGTTTCACGGTTCAAGAATGCTCAGGAGTAAAAGCGGACAAGAAATTGTGCTGCATGAAGCTGAATCCTTTTACAAGCTGAATCTGGGATCTCAACTTGCCTCTCACCTGAATAAAACAGTTTTTCTTCAAATAAGTTGATTTTGCAATAATGAAAAAACAAACAAAAAACAAGCACCTCCTTGATCTCTCCTGTTATCACTGAGAGAGTAGGACAGGGAGCTGGCAAACCAATGACTCTTAGGCTCAGGATAAAAGTAAAACAAATCATTCCCACTCAAATTCATTTTTCAAATCAAATAACATGGTCATTCTTAAATTCATCCCACAGAAAATAAATCAAGACTCTCCCCCAAAGTGCCTTTCCCATCCACTCATATCATCCAGCTCAGAGTCCATAGTCTCTGTGATGCACACAGACTTCCTACCAGGGGAAATAAAAAGCAGCCTCTGTATTAAGTCTTGATGTAGCTTTTATTAACTTGGATACTCATGAATGGAAAAGTTGTATCTGCACCCCCTACTTCTCCTCCAAATACAAAAATAATTGAAAATGGAACAGGACAAGGAAATGAAACAGGAAATCCTAGAGGGAAGGTATTTTTTCCACCCTATATCTTGGCAGTTCCTCATTTACATTCAATTATGTTACCTAAAAGAGGCTCCCTAGTCATTTTCCTCCATACTCTTTATGCCACCCTCTGGGAAATATTTTATTTTCTATCCACATTAAACATCTGAAGTGGGCTTTGGAGATTAGAACCTGCTTGTCTGCTGAACAGCTTTCTCAAGCCTACCTTCGCTTATGGGTGCTTAGGGTCCAGGGATGTTTTGAAAATTAAAGATTCCCAGGTGATTTTCATGTTGACTGGTTGGTTGTTCATTTGTTGTTTCATAGTTTTAATTCTTTCCAGAATCACTGTGTAAACTTTTTAATAAAATTTCATCAACAATTTATTTGATTATAGTCTTTACCCACAGCCAGTAGCCACACCCATAAATATTTGCTGGACCTTCTTCCTAGAATTTTATGACTTCCGTATTGATCTATGTATCTTTTGACCTGATTTTGGGTCCTCGAGTCTATCAGACTTCCATGGGAGAACCATCATTTCAATTACTTTCCTCTGAGCCTCGTTTTCAAATAAAAGAATTAAACGTATGCCACCATAATCAATTCCATGGGGGTAAAGCTCACACTACTGCTGTAATCCATGCCTTAGGAATCAGTTGCTCTAAAAATTACTTTTATATTTTACTGATTTTTGTAGGATAGCTCTTGCTTCTTTGTGCTCCACAACTTCTGAAATGTGTGTACTCTCAGGTCCTGTAAATCCCCACTTGCCAAAATGACCCAATTATTTTGAGCACTTACAGCTTTCTTGTAATACTTCCCCAAGCACAAAAAGAAACACACACTAATAATTTCCTGTTTCCCAGTCTCATTCCATAGGTTTATCAAGTTTTATCTGCTTTCCTACTTACCACTAGTGACAATTTTACCAAATGTAAAACCACTGCATTATTTTGGTCATCATTCTTCAATACTTATGCAGAGTCTTAGCCAACTGTTATTTGTTGATACTGGTAACACCTGTCTTGTTGGTGTCACTGTCTGTTTTAGTCAAGATTAGCTACGATACATGTGGCAACAAACCACTCCCAAATCCAATAATGAAAATCAGTGCCATCCTAGAGAAAATAACTCATTTTTAGAACCTTGGCATAGCATACTTATCAAATACTTTTGGTGTTATAAAGAGCATAGTAGATACCACACACAAGTATTCTGACAATGTCCTTTGTACCACAACAATGAGGAATGACTAATACTTTTGGGATTTAGATATAATGCCAATAATACCATTCCTTAGTGTTCTATGAATTATTTATGCTTTTGCTCATTGCTCTCTTTACAGATCGGTATGGAAAAGCAGAATATCACTTAAACCTACTCTAAATTTTTCTAACAGATTTAAACCTCAAAATTGACAAATAGCTTGGGAGATAGTCTCCATAATTTCTTATTTCATTTCATAGTTATTAAAAATTTTCCAAAAGATTGTACCATGTGTACAACCCTTGACAGAAAAATGAAATCTGAAGGCTTGTATCTCCTCTCAGAAGTTATCTTTTGCTAGCCACAGGCAAATAGAATGTAAATAAAGAGGTCATCTAGGTATCCAATACTTACCAGAAACAAATAGTATAAGACTAGCTTTTTGGTATTTGTTCTATTTATCATTTCTGAATAATAAGTAGTAAAATCAATCCACTTCAATCCCCATTTCAGGTCCAAATAATAATTAGATCAAAAAGGTAAGGATACATTCCCAAATGTAAGGAAGAAACATTATTTCAGAGTAACTAATCTTTACAGTGTCTTGTGACTCATATATTTGGTATAAAACAAATGCAATACTGTGGCCACTTCCAACCTGCTCTCTAGAATGTCTACACCTAACCTATTTTATTTTGAACACTTATCCACTTGGTTCCCCACCTTAAAAATCTTTATTTATTTATTTTTCCAATATCCCTTTTCTTTTTAAAAATAAAGCCTTAAACAACATTCTAAGGGGCCAGTTGTTTTGAGCAAGACAGCTATAGTCCCCACCACCCTTTCTCTTCATTTCCTTCTCCCTGTGACTCAGAGCTGGTGGAACAGAGGCTGTCCTCTCCCAGCTGTGATGAGCTGCTGGGGGATGCCCACACAGCCCGGTGGCTTTTCTTGACAAAACACCCTTTCCCCAGAATCCACTGTAAGGAGGCATGCAGTGTTTTTTGAATGATTGAACTGCCCAGGAAAATGGTCTGAGGCTCCAGAAACTGCCATGGTGTAAGGAACACCAGAATGAAGTGTTGTTGTGTGGGAGGATGCAGATTCCACAGCCTAACATGAAATTCTTCAACGTGGTCACAAGCCTCTCGTGCTTCCTTTCAACCCTTTTCTCCAAGTGATTTGGAGCCTGAGAAAGTACAGTGCATTGAATTCTAGCTTGTTTGGTCAAACGATGACTCAACTGTGCAGTTTTTTGTTGTTGTTTTTTATTGAAATATAGTTGAAATACAACTTTATATTGGCTTTAAGTATACAGCACAGTGGCACTCACATAAATCTTCACCCCAACTAGTGCAGTTACTACCTGTCAACCCAGGGCGATGTTACAGAATCACTGGCTGTATTCTCCATGCTGTACTATCATCCCTGCATTCAATCTGGCTTTGAGGGCAAGCATGGCATAGAGATTAGCTCCACTGGGTCTCTTGATAGCTTGACAGCCACAATTTATATTATCTGTGGGCCTGCAGTTTGTCAGGTCCGCCACCTTGCCCCTTTCCCAGGTTGTCTCTCCTTGCTCCCTTGTTAGAGGAAGTGGTTGAAGGTGTTCTAATTATTCCTGGTTTAGTTTGAAGGAAAGCTTTTTTAGCCTGTTGTCAATTCTTTTATATTAGCAGCACACAAGTACACTCCTGGAATCTAAAGATAATCTAGCTAGTACTTTTTGCATCAGTGTTTCCAACATCTGTACTTAGGTAGACATCATCTCTGCAGTCTTCCGGTCTCTGGACAAGCGTATTGTCCTCAAACTCACTGTCCACCCCTTCACTTCACAGGGCATTTGGCTGTCTATCACAGCCACCAGCAGAGGATTTGATCCCAGATTACCACAGCAACATATATTAAATTTATAATTGCTTGAGTCAAACATATTAGGGATCTGTATTTACCTAGTAAAAAGGCACTAATAAAATAAAGAAAACATTATAAAGGTGTTGGGGGGGTAGCAGTGCATAAACACTAAGGCATGTTAGAAGATGCAAGTTAGAAAAATGCAACTTAGACTTAGTCTGAGTTTGAAATCCTACATCAATAGGTGAAAGCTGTGTGACCTTAGGAATGCAGCTTGTCTCTGCCACAGGTCCTTCATCTGTGAAGTGGGCATAGTAACCACCTCAGAGTGGTTGTGAGAACTAAACACATGGAATACTGCTTGGCCTATAAAGACTTAACTACTATTTCTATCATCTATTTCTGACTTTAATTTTTTCCTAGGTTTAAAAAAGAGATGATAGCCCCCAATTTGCCTGACTCATAAGGTTGAAGTGATTCAACATCCAGGTGTCATGTAATGTGGGAAAGAGAATTAAGACTGAGGCTCATGAATGAGGTTGGTCTTAGTAGAGAGTTTATAAGAGCTGTACAAATATGTGATGTATGTAGTGATAGCAATATTTAAAATACCTTACTTACTAGATGTTCTACTTACATAGTATTGAAGTACTTTCTACACATAGGTAAATTAATCACAGAAAAATTACACATAGGTAAATTAATTATGGAAAAATGACCAATTAATATTAATGATACTACCCTTAAAATACTGTTACCAATCACTGCTACTTAATTATAATAGTTTCAGAAGCAAATTTGTTCATAGATGTGGAATTTATATTATTTAAATTAAAGCTTGGTGGTTCACTCAAATGAACAAAGTTATTACTGTTAGAACTATATCTGAAACTTCAAAATAATGCAAAATCAAACTTAGAATGATTTCTAAAAGTAGTAGAGGAACTACTAATCTAAGAAATATAATTCCAGTCCTACTTGAAGAAATGAGTTCTTAAAATGAAATACAATATTATTTTGTTTGATATTGGTCAGTATTAACATTAGTTAAAATCAAGCATTATTGTGTTTTCTCTAAATACAGACTGTGAGGTTGGAAATATTAACTTTTTATTTTTCTCTTTTCTCTTATTGTTGAAGAAA